CTCACCATAGTGGGAGGGGCAGAGACACAAACTACTGCAAGGAAATCTCACCATTGTGGGAGGGGCAGAGACACAAACTACTGCAGGAAATCTCACCATTGTGGGAGGGGCAGAGACACAAACTACTGCAGGGGAATCTCACCATTGTGGGAGGGGCAGAGACACAAACTACTGCAGGGGAATCTCACCATTGTGGGAGGGGCAGAGACACAAACTACTGCAGGGAAATCTCACCATAGTGGGAGGGGCAGAGACACAAACTACTGCAAGGAAATCTCACCATTGTGGGGGGGGCAGAGACACAAACTACTGCAGGAAATCTCACCATTGTGGGAGGGGCAGAGACACAAACTACTGCAGGGGAATCTCACCATTGTGGGAGGGGCAGAGACAAACTACTGCAGCGGAATCTCACCATTGTGGGAGGGGCAGAGACACAAACTACTGCAAGGAAATCTAGCCATAGTGGGAGGGGCAGAGACACAAACTACTGCAAGGGAAATCTTACCATTGTGGGGGGGCAGAGACACAAACTACTGCAAGGAAATCTCACCATTGTGGGAGGGGCAGAGACACAAACTGTTGCAGGAAATCTCACCATTGTGGGAGGGGCAGAGACACAAACTACTGCAGGAAATCTCACCATTGTGGGTGGGCAGAGACACAAACTACTGCAGGGGATCTCACCATCTCAGGGGGAACCATTGTGGGAGGGGCAGGGACACAAACTACTGCAGGGAATCTCACCATAGTGGGAGGGGGGCAGAGACACAAAAACTACTGCAAGGAAATCTCACCATAGTGGGAGGGGCAGAGACACAAACTACTGCAGGGGAATCTCACCATTGTGGGAGGGGCAGAGACACAAACTACTGCAGGGGAATCTCACCATTGTGAGAGGGGCAGAGACACAAACTACTGCAGGAAATCTCACCATTGTGGGAGGGGCAGAGACACAAACTACTGCAGGAAATCTCACCATTGTGGGAGGGGCAGAGACACAAACTACTGCAGGAAATCTCACCATTGTGGGAGGGGCAGAGACACAAACTACTGCAGGAAATCTCACCATTGTGGGAGGGGCAGAGACACAAACTACTGCAGGGGAATCTCACCATTGTGGGAGGGGCAGAGACACAAACTACTGTGGGGAAATCTCACTATTGTGGGAGGGTCAGAGACGCAAACTACTGCGGGGAAATCTGACCATTGTGGGTCGCAGAGACACAAACTACTACGGGGAAATCTCACCATTGTGGGAGGGGCAGAGACACAAACTACTGCGAGGAAATATCACCATATACATAATCTACTGTGGGGAAATGTGACCATTGTGAAAGCAGCAAAGTCTTCCTGGAGTCCTTCATATTCGTATATTTTATTTATAGCACTTTGACATAATATTGTATATGTTTTTAATTATATTCAGTTGGCAACAACGTTCTTTAGATCAGGGAATCCAAAGATTTACTGTAAATTCTGGATGCTAGGACGTGTCCTTTCTGTGTCCCGTTCTTTAGATGCCAAGGGGACCATATGTGCCTGGAGAGGGAACTTTAAGGATGAATATTTCAGGGTGGAGGATAGATGCTAATTCATATCAGTACACCTAGTTACCTTAAATTAGGAAATGGTGCTACCATTTTAAAAAGCTCATGTTAATTTACATATTGCGTCTCTTTTACAGGCTGTCATCTTCTAAGCGGTATTACTTTGAACTTTTACACAAGCAAGACGACTCTGGCACGGACCATGTGGAGCTAGCGGTAAGAGGGCTATATGGCGCCTTTGTGATATTCTGCGTGGTGAAGTTCAGTACATGACAAAATACAAAAAGTTTGAGCAGGACTAAAAATTGGAACTTACTAGGTTTGTAACCAACACCCCATTTGTCCAAATTTTAATGCATTATACAATATCATACAATTATATCTGTATTCTCAGTTCACAGCTTTTCCCCCATGATGTGTCCATTATGGGGGGTTCTCACCACCCCTGCACTCCTTTATGAATTCCTTTATCTGCTCTCATGCTATGCTATTATGTCAGGGTTGACAACATCCTTGCACTGAGTTCTTGGGTCTGCACACTGGCTGTGTCCATTATGAGGGGTTCTCACCATTACTGCACTGGGTTTTCATACCTGCTGTGCCCATTATGAGGGGCTCACACCATCCCTGAACTGGTTTCCAGGGTTTGCACACCTGCTGTGCCCTTTTTGAGGGGTTCCTGACATTTTTTTTGCTGCTCACTGACCCTACTAGGATATGAAATAGGACTTGACGTAAATCTGTGCAACTGCAAAAAATTATTTTCCATTTGTCCTTAAGAAGTACTATATTTGTCTCTTATTCCTCTTCTTCATCTCTCACAGTGGCGTCAAGCAGTTCCTGGATCTCACTTTACACTGATAGAATCAAAATTCCTGTCCCTTTTCTCAAGTAAGTGCCATATGTCATGTGTATGGTATGTATTTCAGGAGAGGAGACTTAGATAGAGGAAGGAACCGAGTCCTTCAGTGCAGTGCAGAGTATTTTTTAGGAGGTATAATGAGGTGTAGGAGGTGAGATGAAGGAGGACAGCCATCCAGTGTAGCCAGTTTAGGAGATAAGGCAATTTCACCCTTTTTTCCTCCTTACTTTGGTATAGATCTGTCTGATCTGCAGAGAATCACTCAATTGAGCAATCCAGCAATTACAATTCTTGGGCTATATGAATATAGGTAGATTGGATACACATATATTGTATGTAATCTAAATATTTCAGCAGGTTAGTGTTAGGTTGGCCCTAGAAAGCTAAATGTTTCCCCCAGAAACAGGAGGTGGGAGATATGTACCCAGTGCCAGGGTCCAATGGCGTTCAAGCTGCAGTTTGGTCACAAAAACGTTAATTTAAATACATTCCTTAAAAGCCACAAAGGATATAATTCCATGTTGTATACACCAAAAGCTTTTATTAACCCAGATATTATCTTTAATCATGCACTCTGTCCAGAAAACTGAAATAAGTAGGAGAGGGAGGGGGGGGGAGCAGGTGTTAATACCTCATTACCGCCCCTTTCAACCCTGTCAAGACCCAATCCTTCCATTCATGGCCAACTATATCTAGCCTATCTATCTTTTTGCTAATGAAATCTTTCTCAGTATTTTTTCCCATTATCTTCTTAAATGCAGACTTATTTTACCCCTCTGACCTTCTGTCCACAGATGAATCTAACCTTCCCCTGGGGGACACATCCCAGACCCCACTGAGCAAAGCCAGTCACCACAGCCAGAGTTCTGACAACCACCCAGCGGATATGCTGAAACCTGACCCAAGAGACACATTCTACAAAGGTGACTATGTTAGGACGTTTTCCAAAGGCTCAGGGCTGCCAGAAAAAGGAATAAGATGATTATTATTATTATTATTATTATACAGGATTTATATACAGTTTGCTCAGCGCTTTACAATATAACGGGAGACAATACAGCAACGATACAGTTCAATACAAGAGGGTTAGGAGGGCCCTGCTCCTTGGAGCTTACAATCTAAGAGTGAGGGACTAGTAATAAGTATTAGTATTAAGTATTTTAGTATTTAGGCTTATACTGTGTTGGCTGAAAGTAGACTAAATTCTAGGCAGGCAGCTAAAAGCAGTGTTAAGATGCAGTACATATACAGGGGTTGGGCAAAATTATGGAAACACCAGGTAGAAGAATGAAATTGTTACCTAATATGGTGTCGAACCGCCTTTGACATCCAAGATGGCCTGAATTCTGCTGGTAATTGACAAATATAAGTTTTGAATGGTGGAAAATCAAATCTGATACCACTCTTCATGCAAAATAAGTCCAGTTCTCACAGAGATTCTAGAGGTGGAAAATGAGCCCAAACCTTGTTTTTCAAAATTGACCATAGTGGCTCTATGATATTGAGGTCTGGTGACTGCGGTGCCCAGGGAAGGTGCATGACTTCATCTGCATGCTCATCAAACCACAATTTGACAACACCAGCTGTGTGAATTGGAGCATTAGTATCTTGGTAAATGGCTCTGTCTTCAGGAAGCAATGGGGTGCACATGGTTGGCCAAAGTTTGTACATAGTCGCTGGCAGTGACGCTACCTTTCAAGGCGATGATGGGGCCTGCAGAATATCAAGATATGGCTGCCCAAACCATGATATCTCCTTTACCAGGTTTTACCGTTGGCACAAGACAGTCCTGGCCATAAGCTTGGGACAGAGTTCGCCAAAAGTAAACAAGTCCAGTGGTTGGGAACAATGTGATGCATGCTTCATCGGACCATATTACAGTCTTACATTGATTGTCCAAGATTTACGGGTGTTGCACCGCTCTCTTCTCTTCTGAGCATTATTATCAGTCACTAGTGGTTTGGCATTTGCAGCTCGCCCATGAATGTTTTGCTTATGGAGTATAACTTAAGGGAAAACCTGTCTTTTTAGATTTGTATAGAGCGGAGAGGGATTAGTATACCTGCCAGTTTTTTATTGCTGTCTGTGTCCTGATTAGTGAGATTCACCCTCTCTATTTGTACTGTTTACCATTGTCACTGAGGGTAAAAAAGAAAGAAATAAAATCCCAAAATCTGGGTTGTAACCAGCACAGGAATAGAGGGGGCATCTTCCAATGGGAACACCTGATTCTGGTGACAATTAAGGATTCCCTCACTTTGTAGGGTTTATTCTCACTTCCTGTTTTGGCTATGCAACAGGAAATGAAGGCAAATCTACCCAATGGGGACACAGATGGCTAACCTTCCTATACGCTATCCAAAAGTTTAAAAAAATTGCCTTTAGTTCTGCTTTAACTTGTAATATAATATACTGTAAATTTTTTAAACATTTAGCATAAAAATCAAGGCGATGATGGTGTTTTTTTTAATGTTAAGAATATCAGTGATATTGCCTCTATCTATGTCTCTTTGTATATTCTAGTCCCACTTCTGCCTCTGCAACAGCTGCACAGTGTCCTGCCCAGCTGTGTCTATAGGCCTAGTTACCTGGTAGAAGGTTACCCCCTGCAGCGGTACCAAGGTCTGCAATTTGTAAGTAACTGCAAAAAGAGGAGAAAGGGAAGGGGAAAGTGTTAGTACCAGGGGCGAGCTGACAACTCATGGGGCCCCCAGGCAATAGGGGATCATGGGGCCCCTGTGTCCTGGCCCAAACTCAAAAAAGCCTATGAAAAAGGTACCAGGGGCATCTCATGGGGCCCCCTACTGACCCCGGGCCCTCGGGCAGTGCCCGAGTTTCCAAATGGTCAGTCCGCCCCTGGTTAGTACAGTCATGGCGGCCAACTAGGCCTGATTGTTCCAACTATGAGTGTGTTAACACACTTTTTAAGGTTCATTATGTACAAAGTGGATGGGCTGCCCTGACACAATGTGCCTCAAGGCATCCCATTCACTTTGTACATAATGATCCTTGACACACAAATAGGTGTACTTACAATTTTTTGGAGAGTGCAGAACAGCACATGCATATGTGTTACACCAAAGTGTAGGTGCATTTTATGATGAAGTATATGCACACTGGGGTGCCTTTCAGAATCAAAAAAAACAGTTCACCATAACACATACTGTATGTTCAGTGCATTAAACAGAAAGGAGACTTTCAAACTAAGTTTAGAAGAAGCTTCCCTGCCCATTTTCCTCCCCTCATCCAAAAACTGAACACATCCAATCTACTGCCCCCTTCTCAGCTGCATACCTACCTAGTTCTTGCGCCAAATTTAGCCTCATCTTGCCACCTTGGCTTCCACTTCCAGCTTGAAAAGTAAAACCCCATAGTCTTCCAAATAGGCTGGGGTTCTACTGCACACATGCAGACATCACGGAGATCAAGAGATGTAAATCAGGAAAGAATCCTAGTGTGGCAACACTACCCCTATAGTGATTGAGCATTACCCTAATGCCTAGTACACATGATGAGAAAATTAGCCAAAAAAGGAGCAATCCTACGATAATCTGATCGTTAGTACACAGTTTTTGAGAGCGATTCATGTCAGTTCATTTGCAATTATCCAAAGGGACAAGCACAATCATTTTTTTCTACTAAGATAACAGAACGAACATTTTTTGTTTAATCAGTACAGTATTCATCTGTAAATATTGAGTGACCAACACAATACAATACATTACATCATCATGGGTGTTGTATTCTGTCTTTTGAGAATTTTCATAACTCTAGTAACCTATTTGTTTTCGATATGAGACTAGCATGCAAAACAAAAAATGGAGGATCACTCATCCAATATTCTCGTTATGTGTACAAAGCTTAAGACAGGAAGTGTGTTACTGGCAGCATCATAAAGTAAAAATAAAAGGAAAAAAAGTCTGAAAAAAGAAAACGAATGCTATCTACACAGTGGTTGTGTTTTACTATTCCTTCTCACAATGCATGTTTAGAAGTGAGATTTTTTTTATTGAAAACAATACCCCATAGCTGATGATTCAACAGTTAGTTGTAAGGACAGGGTATTTGTACTGAGCCACTGAGAGCTCCCTTTAGTTTGCTAATCTACAGATCTACAGTATATATTTATTACAATAACAAAAAATATGGAATTAACAGCTTGATAAAATGAGAAAGTTGTATCAAAAAGATTATAGTAATGCAATAGGAAGTCCAAAAAAGTTTAGAAAATCCTTTATGGTAACAGAGTTAACTGACGGAAGAACTGAATGTGGAGGTGGAAGTAGATCTCTTTCACGTGCATATTTTAAAAACATTAAAAAGACTACAATTTCTCTATTAACACTATCACCATCCCTCTATGTATTCAGGTCCGTCTAAGTTATGTTTTCCCCAATGACTACACCCGGCTCAGCCACATGGAAAAGGACAATGAGTGCATGTACCAGGAGAACACAAGATACTCCAGCAGGTCTGTAGTGTTCCTAAAATGATAAATGGGTAGGGGTAACATGTGAAGCCAATGTGTCAGTCTTCTTTACTATTAACATTGTAACATTTATACTATTTAGGAGTATTAATTTTCCAGAATGGAAATCCTTGTCTTTATTATGTTTCAGATTGAAATATAACAAATATATGAAGGTCGAAAATCCTAAATCCAGATCTGTTGATCATCCTGGTTTGTATCATGAATTTTATTAGCAACTGATTCAATTTTGTATAGGTGTTTTCTGACTTTTTTGTTGTGGCATTAGCCATTTCTTTGCAAAAAAGGGAATTTGGGCAATGAGTCCTTTTCTTTCAGACCAACAGTTTCCTCCCTCTTTGCTTCCTTCCTTCTTTCCTTCCTTCATATTGGGCAAGATTAAAGAATATGTTTGTAGTACAGCAAATTATACAATAACTTTCTTTATCCTCTTGAATAGGTTGGTCAGATGACTATAACCCATCTGATTTCCAGTATGTGGACACAGATTATCAGATGGTGGAAAAAGGCAATCAGGAAGTCAGGGAGGAGCCCAGCGAGGATGAAATAATTAAACAGAGGAAGCTTTTCCTTGTTGCAGAGACTGAGGAAGAAAGTCGGTTAAGGCCCCTGAAAACTGAAAATGCTCAGGACAAAGCACTTTCCCACTCCAACAACTTAAACACAGCTAATAAAAATAATTCAGGCTTAGTTTTTTCAAATCATGATTCCATTTGGCTACCCAAACTAGAGGGGCAGAGTCAAAAGACCCTGTCTGCTCGTGGTGCAAAACCCCATAAGCATAAACGCCAAAATCTTGTTAATGTAAAACATGATTACAACCGCCATGAAAACAGTTCAAATGTACAGGAGAATAATTGGAAAAAAAGGAACAAAAAGACACAGAAAGCACTAACAAAGTCATTGAATAATGGACTGAACAGTGTATCACACTCTGTAAGACAGAGGATTACATCTATGATGAATGATCCAGTATTAAGGAAAACAACCTTGGCTAACAAGGAGGGTTACCAAAGGGTGCCACAAAACAGTAGCAAGGGGAACACTAAGAAGGAAGAATCTCAAAGAAAAAACAATAGGCAGTATACAAGTGATCATGACCAAGGATTTAAAGTGGGGATGGTAAACAAGGAAGGTTCTAGGAAGCAGGATATGTTAGATGAAGAAACAAGACAAAGAGAAATTCTTAACAGGTGGAAGGAGCAACTAAAAGCTACACCTGCTGGGAACCAGGGCACTGGACCCAAGCTTAATGGAGACTTTGGTGATAATAAGATTCCTGAGTCTGAGATTTATCAGGGGAAGTTGCATGACTCTGGAAAGGATATGAGTAGAAAACAAAGACCTGAATTTGATCAGGAGAAAATGGAATGGCATAGGAGACCCGAGAGGTATCGTTCTAATGGGCAACTAAAGCAAGAATCTCAAAATGAACATCTTCATAAGAGTAAAACTCAAGAATTTCAAGATATTAAAAGTAGAAGGCAAGACCTCCTAGTAGTCAAGGGCAGACATCATGTTTCAACCACAGTTAGTAAGCAGGGAAATGAAAGTTACAGAAACGGACAAGGAACTCCTTTGGTAGCTAATGGTAGCGAGCTGGACCTTGAACATAGAAATGTACAAAGCCAAAATCGTGAAGCAGTTGTGGATAGGGAAATGACCCAAGGGGGAGAACAAGGTAAAGATGAAGGAGAGCTTGGTGAGCCAGTTCTCGGTGGCTTTAATCAAGAAAAGAACAAAAAGCCAAAAGAACATGGAGCAGCTATAGATCTTGGTGAAAGAAAACAAAGTCCTGAATTGAATAATGATGGCCAAAAACAAAATCAGGGTGAGCAAGACCCCTCATGGAAAACAAATAATATTCTGCTACTTCCTGTTCCAAATCTGGAGAGACCAAATGATGGAAATCAGGACCGCAGCAATCAAAACCCACAAGAGGAAGAAGGAGAAACCCAAAATAATGACGAAGATGAAGATGATTACCAAGAGTTTGAGTACCCCTTTGTGTTTGAACAGCCTGTTTTCTGGAACCAGACTTTCCATGTGGGTCAAACAGACTTTCAGGTGGTGAGGTCAGAATACATTGACCTTCAGTGCAACACTTCGGGAAACCTACACCTGAAAGAAAACGAAGCCTTGAGCATAGTTGGTGCTTTCATGAAACGGCTGCACCAGTGGCATCGAGGGTGAGCATTTGGGCCATGTACCAGATCAGCTTTATGAGTAAAGTGTACAAGAGGGATGAGGGGGTTTCAAAGTATGAAGACAGGTCTATAGGATATTGAATAATGTACAAAAAGCAAATATACAATTGTAGAGCTAAGTCATTAACAAAAAAGTAATGACACTGTTTCAAGAAATTAGATCTCTACTTCTATCTGTCTCGGTGACCATTGTAAAAATGTTACAGTTGTTATTAGAACAGGAGGTAAGGGGAAATCCAGTTAAGACACCTGTTCCAGTGCGAACTGCCTAAAAGGGGGCTTTCCTCTAATTTTAGAAAGGCTGTCTCTAAATTTCAGTTGTGTCTCCAAGAGAGGAAATTAGAGCACATATCTCCCCAATGGGAAGCAGACAGCAAATAAAAAAAAAGACCTGGCAGGATTTTAGTGTCCCATATGCTATCAAGAAAAGTATTGATATAATGATTTTTTTAATGCTTGTGGGTATGTAAGGACTCCTTCTAGAAGCCCTACTTAAATTTAAAGAGTGCTGGCCATCTAAATCACCTATATCCACAGTGGGAAAATAGTAAGGCTAGAGGATTGTTGCCATGTTTGTTATCACCTTAAATACATTTATCTTTTTTCTTGTCAGAGTATACAAACTACAGCGCATTATCAACATTGAGAAACGCTTAGACTACGTTAGAGGAAGCCGCTATTTGTTAGAACTTGAACTCTCTGATAGGTCCAATCGTGTCCTGAGATTTTCTCAATATGTGTTCGCCCCAAATTGGACTGGGCTGACTCAGGAAGAGCGAGAACAAGAAAGAAACATGAGGAACATGATGTGGGGGCCACGTCGGAGACTGATGGCAAGCGAGAAGCTACCAGAACTGTGCTGGCCAACAGGGTTGGCCTGGAACCCCCGAGCTATGGTGTACATTATAGTACCAGGTGAAGTTGTTAACTGAAATGCATTTTGTGACTTAAATGCCAGCCAAAACTTTTTTTTTTTAAAGCTGACAATAAGGTTAGAACCTTTGTCAGATTTTATTCCTAAGCATTAATAGCAGCTACAAATAAATAAATAAATACTTTTGGTATGCTCTGATCAGATGATCTATATGCCTTGGCAAAAGTCACATCATGTCCCTTGTATATGAGCTGCATTGAGAGAGGTGCTAGTCTGTTACAGTCTGTGT